TTTTGTCACATCGTTGCCGTTGCGTGCAATGGGCAAATTATTGCTACTCTAGTTATTTTTTTTTTGATTTGGAGGCTCTGCACCTTTGAAAGACTTCGCAACATATTGCAGACTTCCGTTTTTATCACTGTCTTTGTATCGCTAACAAAAGCGAGATTACCTAAATCGATCAATACATATTATTGTTTTAAATACGTGCAAGACGAGACTGACACTTGTAAACAAAAACATAAGCATCACGGGCGAGTGACCAAGCGTCACGGACTAAGGGCAAGCATCACGACCGAGTCTCCAAGCGTCACGGTACCGTGTCGCTTCAGAGGCCTGGGGAGAACACTGACAGTAAATAGACACGAGTATGAAGACGAGTGTTCGGTTCGATTCGCGTTCAATTCGTGTTCAAATAAAAACATCATCAACGTCCTTGTTTCAAAGATTTTATTTGTTTTTGAATTGAGTGGTGATAATTTGTGATTATATAATTTTTTACAAAAGATTTATTTTCTTTAAATATATTTATGCCTTTCTCGCCTGTTTGTAGGGTTATTTTATACTGGTTTAAGCCCATGTGACTTCCGATGTGAGTGAGACTGTATGACTATTTATAATCTTGATTTTCTCCAAAAGAAATGGGTTGATCTCTATTTTTCTTACACCAAATATGATATATATATAAACTTTTTTGTAAATTATAGATATTTCAATTTGTACGTCAATCAAACGTAAAACGTGCATCAATCGAACGTGAAACGAATGTAATCAAACGCAAATCGAACACGAAACGAACACGAATCAAACCAAACGATATCTTCACACTCGTTTAATAGACCATTTTTCATTCACCACAAGATCTGTGTTATACATGAAATCAAATGTAAAAACTGTATTGTGTTTAAGAAGCGCATCTTCAGTTGAGGTGCATGTGAACCAAGGAATTGTGTTTGGTGGGATTTTAGATACTGTACTGTATTTCATCTAGTAGTGCATGGTCAAGTACAAATGTGTCAAGGGTTTTTGTGATTCACTACCAGTAAAAATGTTGAATGATTGCTGCAGTGGTTATTATCGGTCCAGCATAATAAAAATAATGGGTCGACTAGACTAGACCTATTAAAAGTATTTCCCTTATTATTTATGTATGTAGAGTCATACATTTATTTAATATTATTGTACATCTATCATCGTAATGCCATAAGTTACAGCATGCCATAATTTTGCGGTATTGCACTGGGTATTTTCATCCTACCATATTAGAAATCGTGAATTCCAAATAGGGAACAATTATGCATGTAAGCGTCCTCTAATAATAAAAACAAACATGGCTGCCCCCAGGGTTTGACCAGCAGACCCACACACAAAAAAGTTCACTAAATCTGTTCTAAACTTTTTGAATTTTGACATTCCCATGATGTATTCCTAGGAGGAAAAGATGTATAATAATAAGGTTATTACGAGGATACTGCAAAGTATGCACTCGGACAGTACACAGTCGCATCGACCTCAGCTGCACGTTGGTTGATACTCCCACTCCCGTGGCAGTATCCTCGTAATAACCTTGTTCCCAAATCAGCCCTGAGAAAACCAAGAGCTCTACATTCATGCCTCCCAGTATAGGACTCTTTCATGACCCCTGAAGGTCACACATTCTGGTACTTTTGTTGGTATGACATCATCACAAACATACACGATTGGAACATTTTACTCAAGTAGACAAAACAAATAATCAACTCTAAGAAATATACTATCGAATGTACCAGGATGTGTGACCTTTTAGAGGTCATGAAAGTGACCTATTCTCGAATCAACTCAACGAAAAATTGATACTAACTTATAGATATAATTAATTGTATTTTTCAGCTGAAATTATAATGTTAGAAGGCGTGACGTGTGTGTATAGAAGTAACGTTGACCTGTTTTTCTATGTAATGGGCGGATCACATGAAAACGAACTCATTCTTGTCAGTGTTTTAAATTGCTTATATGATTCAATTAGTCAAATGCTAAGGTAAGTTGTTTTTTATGATAAATATACAGTACAGTCTAACCTTAACACCACCAGACTTTCTCGGCAAAAATTTTCTGCACTTTTTTCTCATGTTCTTCAATATTTCTGGAAATGAACCCTAATATTGTAGCCAACAGACAAAATTTGAGTTTTTATTTTTACGCAAAAAATTTGGCTATTTGGCCAAATCTTCTGAAGGAGAGTACAGGCTATAAACCAAACTATTTTGTAAATTTGCGATGAAAAGAGGGAACTGTTGGTAAACATACTAAGTCAGTCTTCAAAATTGAATTTTTTGTTCAGTGGCCATTGGCAACCAATTTTAAGTTATTGGGGGGCAACTGGAAAAATCAGTAGTCAAGTAAAAAAATTTGGTAGAATTGTTTTTTTTACAAATACATTAAGAAAGTCCAAAAATTGTCCAAAGCGATTGTAAAGTTGGTAGATTTGAATGTTTATTTGACCAAAGTTGTTGTTATATCGAACCCTGCAGTTATAAAGTATGAAAAATGAATAAAATCACTTTAAAGCCTTCCAAAAAAAAAAGAAAAAGAAAGAAACTCTAAATATGTTAGAATTTAAATATTTCAGATGTGATGACCTTTGTATCGTTATCGGCACTGATTCATCAACCGGATGAGATCCACTTTCAATCATACATTTCATACATGTATATGCAACATTTTTATGCTTTTTTATAACAATAATTAAATAAGGCAGATAAGGAAATGTATAGAAGTGCGCCACCAAGAGTTGACAAGCTGTTTGATCTGTTGTGTATTACAAAGAATTTATCGCAAGTCAGACTTTCTTTACGCAACCAAAATAGTCGCAATCAAGAAGCCTGTAGCTTTTGATCAAATTTGGTACATAGGTACCTTGGGGTAATGTACAGACATGATTAGTTTTAGGACAGTCTGTGTCATTTTCATTGACTTGTGGATTTCTCAAA